TAAAATACAGGGATCATTAGACAAACAACACCACGAAAGATTGTATTAAAAGTTTGGGTGAATACCAAATGTGATGGGTTACTTATGCAATAAATGATTTGATTCAAAATTACCGAATTGCAGCTAGTTGCTTTTATTTCCATGTGCCCATGAACATTCTTGGACCTGCCTTTACTGAATTTGTTACAGTTCCAGTTTGTTTGTTTTTTAAATTTATAAAGTTTTATTCGGTAACTTCTTAGAAAGGATTACATAGCAGTAAACAGTAATACAGGTGCACATAACTTGCATTATATGAAACAAATAGCAAAGTTACGAGGTAATAATCTGTTGGATATTGATTCATTTACTGCAGTGGACTTCTAGTTTATCTTTATTCAGTGCTATATCGTATTCAAGGTGGTAGTTATATTTTACTTGATCCAGGAATACTGGGAAGTGTGGTTCATGGTATAAATATGCTTTTTGCCAGCAAAAACAGATGGTTATATAACTTCGGTAGTGAGATGTCACCAAATATCATTTCATCAATTGTTGGGTGTCCCGAAGCATGCAAGAAACTGAGCCCAGAAACGTTTAGTATAAACACACAACAAAAACAAATGCTCAAGTGCCTCAGTCTCTATTTTACAGAATTGAGGCACCTAATTTACTGATCTCCATTCCCTTCCTTTTAAATATTGACTGGTGTAAAGAATACGATGGAGCAGCTTGAACTAAAAATATTTTGGCTGGTTTGATATAATTACAATCAAAATAACAAGCCTCCAAATCTTATTGGTCTGGAGATTCATCACATTCCAGGGTCTGACAGTGGCAGGCTCTTTATGGCTCCGTACAGCATTAACACATCAACCTGATCAATATTTTGTCGATGGAGATCCTCCCATTCCATAAGATAACCATTTTGCTACAAATCATTAATATACCTAAAAACCTTTTATAATCAATCTTTTGTGAAAGACATACTTTCCATTAATTAATATATGTTGATTATTCCATATCATTTGAATTACATATGTCAATTGAGTCAGTTGAGTATAAAAAAGGACCAAGCCTTCAATGCATCCATGTAAAACCGTGGAATAGATCCATTGAGAAACCCTGGGAGGAAATCACACCTGAATAAATAGTTGCTTCCAAAAACGTTTAGACGTTCTGCCAAGAACATTTTCCAGGGATGTTGAAACTCCTTATCTGAATATCGTTTAATAAACATCACTCTGAATATTTTGTGTATGGCAAACATTTATGGTGCACTCAGTCCCCCTCTCCAATTTCTTTGATCATTACCTGTCTTGATACTCTATCACACCCATTCCATAAAAAAATAAAGATATGTCTCTCGATTTGATGCAACATTTTCTGTAATATGTGTACACCATTCTCATCACATAATTCAGTTGAGATATTGCGAATGTTTTTTATATTTGAATTTTCCCTAAAAGAGTGAGTGTTCTATTTTTCCAGCAATTTAATAGATTTTCAATTTGTTTCAGGTGTTTCGCAAAGTTCAACAATGTGCTGATTTCAATATTATAGGACATTTGTACTCCTACAATTTTAATGGGTACACCAGGCCATTTAATTCTGAATGGTGTTTTTGATCTCCTTATCCACAACCCAAGCCACAGAGCTTCTGTTTTCCCAAGATTGATTTTCAAACCAGGGAGTATACTAAAATAGTCCAACATCTCAAAGAATTCAATTACAGGAGTTTTCTGAATGGTGTTTTTGATCTCCTTTTCCACAACCCAAGCCACAGAGCTTCTGTTTTCCCAAGATTGATTTTCAAACCAGGGAGTATACTAAAATAGTCCAACATCTCAAAGAATTCAATTACAGGAGTTTTCTGAATGGTGTTTTTGATCTCCTTTTCCACAACCCAA